TTGAACACGAGCTCCTGGGGGATCCACGATTCCACCGCACACCTTTGCAGACCTGGCCATGGAAGAGCCTCTCCGATTCTCCAGGGTCTCCAGATAGACACTGAGTCTGTGCAGAGGCACCGCTCAAGCCCGTGTGGAGCCCAGTGGGTCTTGGGTCCCTGAGCACCCTAGAGCCAGGTGTATGGTAGCCCCACCGACAGGGAAGGCTAGACTTTTTTGTATGTCCTTAGGATATGTTAGAACTAAGGCTCAGAGTCTCAGGAAAAACTAGCCCTCAGACAAGGAATTTCCAAGCAAAGCGAGTTTACTTCTGCGTGGACGGGTGCCTCCTGTATGGCTGCCTGCCACGAGAACACAGAGAACAAAGCAGAGCGGCCGGGCGCGGTGGCTCAAGCCTGTAATCCCAGCACTTTGGGAGGCCGAGGCGGGTGGATCACGAGGTCAAGAGATCGAGACCATCCTGGTCAACATGGTGAAACCCCGTCTCTACTAACAGTACAAAAATTAGCTGAGCATGGTGGCGCATGCCTGTAATCCCAGCTACTCAGGAGGCTGAGGCAGGAGAGTTGCTCTAACCTCCATTTCCAAAACAAGCCACCTTGTGAAACATTAACTGAAACAGAAAGTGGCATAGCTCTTTAACATCTTTCTCTTTTAATGCGTACAAAAAAACTGTGTTGACATAGAATGAATATCATCACTCAAATCTGACTCTCTCCCCCAGCACTCATACACACACACACACACACACACACACACACACACACAACACACCATCTGGGACTACCTCCACGAGAAAAAAATATTCAGAGCCATAAAATCAAAGCCAAGACTGTTTTGTGAAGAGAGCTAATGACTTTTGACAACATGTATAGAAATACACAGAAAATTCCTTTTACTTTTCCTTTTTTTTTAGACAGTTTTGCTCTTGTCGCCCAGGCCGGAGTGCAATGGCATGATCTCTGCTCACTGCAACCTCTGCCTCCTGAGTTCGAGTGATTCCTCAGCCTCAGCCTCCCCAGTAGCTGGGATTACAGGTGCCTGCCACCACACCTGGCTAATTTTTGTATTTTTTAGTAGAGATGGGGTTTCATGATGTTGGCTCGAACTCCTAACCACAGGTGATCCGCCTGCCTCGGCCTCTCAAATTGCTGGGATTACAGGCGTGAGCCACTGTGCCCAGCAGAAAATTCTTTATCAGTGATGCATTAAAGAGGCTCTGTTGCATTTTTTTCTTTAGTTTTACCTTCTGTTTGATGCTTCTTGCACGAAGTGGTTTTAAATAAAGACTCTGTGCAATATTACACGGTTTTTGCCTGTGTATTTTCAGTTTAGAAGTCATCATGCTCTTTCATGATCTTCACTACTACATGTACACTTCTCAGATTTATCTTTCACTCAGGGTTCTACGAAGAATTTTATGTAATATCTTATTGACATGGCTGAATGGTTACCAATCACATACTGTCAAAGACTCAAAAACCTGTTAATTTAATTCACAAGGTGGCTTGTTTTGGAAATGGAGGTTAGACCAATCTCAACTTAGTTTGTAGCCTGAAAATGTGATTTAATCAATTTAACCCGTCCCAGTCATCTCCTCAAAGTGACTAGCATCCCTGTGGAGGCTCAACCATAATAAAATATCTCCATTTGTGTTCAATTTCTATTATTTATGTATTCTTACACCTTCTTCTGGTAGAATGTTACTCAAAGGATATTGAGCCATAAACTAAAAGAACCTGCCCATTGTTGTAAATCTGATACCTTCCCTCCAACCGCAGGGAGTAGCATTTCCTCCAGTCTCTCTTGTTGAGAGTTTGGGCTTTTTAAAAGAGGCTGTTCTGGGAATCATTCTGGTCAATTTACTAGAAATCCCTTCATGGTGAAGGTGGTTAGGCTTAAAAAACCTAAGACATTCTAATTTCCAGGGACTGGTTATATCTTGGATATGATATGGGTTGATGCATTTCTTTGGCAATTATGGTTTTAGAATCTCACAAGTCACATAATAATGGCATTTTTTTCATATGTGGTAGGTGCCTCTCAATCCAAGAAACCTGACTGTGTGGCATCCTACAGGAAATAACCTTGATGTATTGTCTTTACCAATGAATTTTAACATAAAATACTTGTAAGAGGCTTGAACCAAACTATTCAAATCTCCAGGAGATTGACTGAGAAACATAAATGCTATAGGCCGTGCGCAGTAGCTCACGTCTATAATCCCAGCACTTTGGGAGGCCGATGCCGGTGAATCACCTGAGATCAGGAGTTTAAGAAGCAGCCTGGGTAACATGGTGAAACCCCATTTCTACTAAAGATACAAAAATTAGCTGGGCGTGGTGGTGTGTGCCTATAACCCAGCTACTCAGGAGGCTGAGGCAGGAGAATTGCTTGAACCTGAGAGGTGGGGGTTGCAGTGAGTTGAGATTGTGCCACTGTACTCCAGCCTGGGCAGCAAAGCAAGACTTTGTCTCAAAAAAAAAAAAAAAACAAAAAACAAAACAAAACAAAACAAAACAAAACTGTATATCTTTATATATGTTGATTTACACTGGAAATCTAGCTGCTAAGATACACTACAATATTTATGTTCACAGTTCATAGCATTCCTTCTCTGGGGGGAATGACCTTATACTGCATATTAAGGGCTGTAATTGCTAAAGAAACCAAGATGAGGCTGGGTGCGGTGGTTCTGCCTGTAATCCCAGCACTTTGGGAGACTGAGGCAGGCGGATCACGAGGTCAGGAGTTCAAGACCAGACTGGCCAACATGGTGAAACCCCGTCTCTCCTAAAACATACAAAAATTAGCTGGGCATGGTGGCTTGCGCCTGTAATCCCAGCTACTTGGGAGGCTGAGGCAGGAGAATTGCTTGAACTGGGACCCGGGAGGCGGAGATTGCGGTGAGCCGCGGTCACACCACTGCACTCCAGCCTGGGCTACAGAGGAAGACTCCATCTCAATAACAACAGCAATGAAAAAGCCCAGATGAAAAATACTTGTACCTGACAGTAATTGTGTCTGCTTCTCTATAGAAAGTTTACACTAGCATAACCAAGAATGATCCGGAATGTTCTCAAGAACCATGATCAGGTCAGTCGTCAAATGCTATTAAGCAGAATTGCCTATTTGACTGCAGATGTACCTATTTCAGTATACATGATAAGGGCGGTGAAATATTCTGTGCCAATTTCACAGGGAAAATACTAATACATTTTGATTTTTTTAGTCCTTGCTGTTTGTTTTAGGATCCATGAAGAATTTGTCACCACCTTGGCTCCAACAGGCTTGATACAATTATGTTATTGCTAATGGTATGCTGGTAACCTGGCTCTCCCAAAAGCGAAAAAAAAAAAAAGCCTGGATTTGTAGCATTTGCAATTTCAATTGTGTGGTTTCTCCCAGCACTGCTAATTTCTCCTACAGTTTAGCTACTAGCTTGCTCCAAATTCCTGAATATTTAACAATTTTATCTTTAGAGTCTGCATAAGCACGCCACTAGCATTCTTTTACTAGTTGAAATCTAGTTCTGAAGTTGTTCTGAAATAGCCTTCTATTGAGCTTTCAGTTGGATTCAAGATGTATTCATAAACCCACCTCTTAATGGAGGCTGTTTTGCAGATGGCCGTCACCTGTTTATGCTGAACCTGTTAGCTTCATTTCTAGCTAGTGACCTTTTTAAAAACCTGTTTAAATGTGAACCAGAAGGACACTTACTACTATCTTTTAGGTTCTCTCTCATTCATACATCTAGGAAAAGCATGTGGGCAAAACGCAAGCCACAGAGACGCTTCGGTGGAGTAAATAAAACGTAGCAAGAAGTAATATGTGAGTACCTTAGAGAAAACATACTGGAGAAATAGTACAGAAGGGAATATGCAAGAAAGAGAGTGATAAAGACCTTTTAAATATTGTTCAAAGTGGACCTTCACACAGGTAAAAAGATGTTGTGGCATATTGGTCATTTGACTGCAAAGTGAGGGTAGTTAGGATGAGCTCTGCTTTCCTTACCTATTTAATTGAGTTCAGGCAACTCCTGGGAACATCTTACAAACATGGAATTCATGTAAACCTCACAGTGTCAGTTTTATGAAGCCATTTTATTATCCACTCAAACTCTTGCTTTCAGTTTCAGAGGTAGTGTTATTTACAAATGTTCCAGCCAGTAGCCACCTGCAACCTAGGCACCCCATCTCAATTTCTGCAGATTTATCCTTAGACGTTGTGCTTGGAGTAGATCTAGAAACCAACTGTGTTTTCCTGCTAGATTTCTGGGGTGGTAAAGTGGATGAGGAAGAAGCAGCGGGTACCTCTACATTAGGAAATAAGAAAAATTATTTGAGACAAGTCATGGAAAGGAAGAAAAGTCTGGTGAGCTAACCCGGGATGGAAAAAAGCCTTGGTTGTCCCAGGCGAGAAGGAATTCTGAGTGTAGCGTTGAGGCTGTTGCACAGCTCCTGTGATTCTTTGCTACAGTCTAAGTTCTGGGATGCAAATATTAGGGGAAGCTTCACTAGGTTTTTTTAAAAAATACATTGGGATCCATGAAAAAAATACTCTGGGGACATCTCCAGCAACCTTGGTATTATTTAACTGACGCCATCTTTTCCAGAAAAGGTGTTTCTGGGATCTTTTGCATGTGATTGGATTTCCTCTCCAGTGCTCAAGAGATCGTTACAGAAATGTGTCATCACAATCGGAATCAGAACATCCTTGAGAGCAAGAGGTCAAGTGCATTTCTATTACTTTATGCAAGTTTTTCCATCATTGTCAGCGACCTCATGGCTGGAAAGTTTGAATTTTGTTAAGAGCTATGAATATGAAATAGCTTTAATTAAAGAGAAAGATAGTCAATAATTGCTGGTTTGACGTTTACAGACAATAATTTGGATAAAAATCATATTCCATGGAAGAAATGAAAAGTTCTATTATGCTATTACCAGAATTTGAGAAATTGAACTTGAAATAAATCCTCACGAAAGTTAAAACAAACATACCGGGCAGCCTCTGAATATCTCTCCAGACATCTGAACACTGCTGCCTGACGTAGATGATTCCGGAAATACGCTGGGTTTAAAACAATGCTCCTGTAAAAAGATAAAAGAAATGCAAATGTTATTTGGGTTTTAAAAGACAATTATCATAAGTGCATTGGAATGAAATCACAGGCATTCGATTTTATATACTATGTGTTTTTAAAGATACTAATGAAAGAAACCCTTCACCACCACCCCTGTCCCGTAATTGGCAGTTAAGACAAATAAGCAAGCGTTATTGAAAAACTAATTACCTTTGCATTATTAAAAAAACATTTATTTATAGGACTGGGTATTTTTAGAGATATGACAAAGACAAAGAATTTGAATTCAACTTATGTTACCTGTAAGACACGGTGCTATTTTACTTGCTTTTAAATGAATTTTAAAATTCCCTCCATCCCTCCATCACTCCCTCCTTCCTTCCTTCCTCTCTCCCTCCTTCCCTTCTTTCTCTCTTTCCCTCCCTCCCTCCCTCTCTCTCTATCTCTCTTTCTTTCTTTCTTCTTTCTTTTTCTTTCTTTCTTCTTTTTCTTTCTCTCTCTCTTTCTTTTACAAATCTATGAGGTATACTCCCCTATTACTTTAATTACTTATTCACTCATGCATATTTAGTTAGCATGTACAAACTTCATGGGACAAAATTCTTACTGAAAGAATGTTTCTAGCCTTTGGCATCTCTTTGTCTATGATGTAATGTTTTCACTTTGCAGAGCTATTTTCCAAGAATCTTGCTCTGCCAGAAAAGTTCTTGTGACAAAAGTAGATTAGACTGGAGAGAAGGATGAGGTGTGGTGGGAAGGAGGAATAGTGAAGAAAGAGCTTATCCAAAGAGAGAGAGGAGAGAGAGAAGACTTCAGAGCTGCTTTGGATGTAGGCAGAGATTTTTGTGAGTACTGAGGGCTGGTGAGGTCGACATCATTGGAACTATTACAATGCGATTTTAAGAAAGAATGGAATCGAAAACAATTGCTTGTGATTATAAGTCCTCTGTATGGTGTTGAAGAAATGCAAGCAGAGGACATACTTTAGAAATCACTATTGCTAGACCAAACTGTTCTTTTAACCATAGCGTCACCCTTCCCTAAACCACATGAATCACAGCTTCATAGGAGGAATCCAAGGAAGACCCAGACCCAGTCTCTACCCTGAAAGCATAATTATAAAAGAATATTTGGTAATTTGAGATGAAATATTTTATTTGGCAATTTATTATTTTTGACTTTTATAATTATTGCAGCATTCACTGTGTGGTTATAGTATGCCCCTGTTAGATATTTGGCAAGGAAATGCTAGTGGTGGTTGTAAAGCCTAGGTTTTACACTTTAATTAATTTACTGATGCTTTCTAAAATGACATACCCTTTTAAAGATATATTTTATGTTGTGTGCAACTTGTAGGGGTAATGATGATCTGTCTTTTGAAAAGTTCTTACTCATTTGTCATTTATGCCATTTGGAAAGTCACAGGAGGCAGCCTGTGACCAAAATGGACAATCTCACTGCAGTTACAGTGAAAAAAAATGACAATTGTAATCAGAGAGCAATCTCAGAGCTGATTGGTCTGATTCTATCACAGAGGAACAAACTCTGATTTAGCTATGCTGATAGGGCTTTTGGTAAAAAAGCGGGAACCATGTTAGAGCTAAATGATAGAAGTCATTGAATGGCCTTCAGGCAAGCAGACCCCAGAGGCTCAAATGAGGGTAAGGCTGGCATTAGCTGCCAGTCTGGCAGTGCGGTCTGAAGGGAGATTTTATAAGAAATTGTCCCCAGAGGAACAGACCACCTCCTCGTCCTTGCCCACTATGCCAAGGGGGTCACCGGAAAGCACACTGTCCTGGGCGATGAAGGTTCCCAGGGCCTGCGGTGTCTAATCAGATGACCCAGCTGCAGGATTAAGGGTGCCTGGGGCAAGCGCCAGCACAAGCCGTCACCCTCACAGAGCCCCGGGTAAAGCTGACCACGGAAGGCCAGGAGGTTCATCTTCTGGGCACTGGCACGGCCTTCTCGGTATTTCTCTCCTGCCCTGGAGACTTGGTGCTTGTTAAATCTCTCCCGTCAGACTCTCCCTCTCTAGGCTCATCTTCGGAAGGATGATTTTCGGTTATTCTGTTTACCCCAATGGCAGTTAAGGTGGTGGAAACTGACTCATGGATTCATCACAATTGGCTGAAGCCTCGGATACCTCCTGAATAAAACCATAAACCCGCCACTCTGCAGCCTGAAGTTCCAGGAGATGACCCTTCGTACACCTGCGAGCCATTAGGGGATCTGCATCTGCTCTTCCAACAAGATCACCAGGAAAGCAACCACTCGAATCTAATTTCTATCCTGGCATTAACAGGACGTTAACTCTCAACTTTGCTAGCTCTCAAACTCCAATTATTCCTTTCATCGGTGGGGAGTCAGAAAAATATAGGGAAAACTTGGTGCTGGCTTTAGAAAAGTGACTACCTCTATTCAGTTACTATAAGCTATCTCAGGAGTTAAAGAATAACACGAAAAGTTGCTAATTCTCTCTGCAAAGGCAGCTCACTCTGCAAAACAGCTTCACTCTTTGGCTGTCGTAGGTCTTCAAAGTAGAAGGGCCCTAAATCCGCTCACGGAGAAAGAGGGAACCGGCCCCTTTCTGGGAAGAAATGCTGCTATTTTATAAATGAGTTAAGTGTTGTTTGAAGCAAAGTTGAAGAACTCGGGAATCAATCAAACACAGGACTAAAAACCTTCAAGAACGGTGGAGCTTGTTCGACAACTAGCTGTCCTGGCTCTATCCTCTCCTAGGCCTGTCTATAACCATTCTATAATTGTTGGCTTCTGAGCTTTGCCTCTTTAACCTCCTTGTCACATTCATTTCTTCTAGAACCATGAGGCCACAAATAAGCCTGCATCTGGAACCCTGGATGTCCTTGGCTCATGAGCTCTGTTGTGGACCTCAGGATCAACCTGCACCCCTAAAAGGCTCTCCTCTGGAGGAAACCTCAACCCCTTCTATGCCTCACTTCAGCAGGAAGTAACTAAAGAGCAATCAATGCCCCCGTACCCCACGAAAGTTAGACTTTCCTGTTCAGAGGGAGGGTTGAGGGAATGTATTCTCTTCCCGGGTCCACAAGGGGGCGCAGTTTCGAAGGCAAGAACTTCCCAGTACCATACCCCCATCTCTACATCTGGGATCTTAAGGGTCTTGTTTAAACTTTGGCCCACTCGGGAAGAATCAAAGATCAGTCACTCCAGCAGAAGTTTAAAGGAATTCCTTTCATAGGCCCAGAAAACCTAAAGGGGGCAGGAATTCCTCCCAGGTTAAAAGTTCCCGTCCCAACATCTGGGCAGACTCCATATCTGGATGCCCTTCCATGATCTCATGGAAGCTTCTCTCTCTCATCTTTTTCTCTCTCTCTTTTCTGTTTCTCTGCCTAAATAAATCACTTTCTGCAAAACTCTTTGGGGCCCGAAATTTACTTTTGAGCGCACCACGCCCGGTGGGGTCCTCGCTCCCATTCTTCCGTGAGTGACAGACCAGGACCTGAAGAACATCCTCTTGCGGGAGCTGAGTTTTTCTCCGCTCCCTGAAATTTGGTCACGTTTTCATGTTATTATTGGCCATTTGTATGTATTATTTTGTGAAGTTCTAGTTAATCTTTTGCCATTTAAAAAACCGGGCAGTTTGTTTTCTTATCATTGTGTTGCAAGAGTTCTTTATGTATTCTGGATACAAATTCTTTGTAAGATACATATTTTTCTCTGAGTCTGTGGCTGATCTTTGAATATTCTTAACAGTTTCTTTTGAAGAGCACAAGATTTTTTATGATGTCCAACTTATCAGTTTGGATGTCCAACTTATCAGTATAATATATTTTACACAAACTATTTTTTATAGTTTGTGTAAAATATATTATTTAAGTTTGCTTGATCCAAGGTAACAAAGAATTTCTTTTATATTTTCTTAAAAAATGTTGATAGTTTTAACATTTATAAACTATTCGAGTTGAATTTGTTTATGGTGTGAAGTAAGATAAAGACATTTTATTTTTGCTGATAAATTTACAATTTTTCCAGCACCACTAACTGAAAAAACTATTCTTTCCTTCTTGAATAACCTTGACACGGTTATCAAAAATCAGTTAACAAAAATCAGTTAACCATATATGTGCAAGTCCATTTCTGAACAGAATATTATGTTCTGTTATTTGTCTATCCTATGTTATTATCACAGTCTTGACTACTATAGATTTATGATAAATCTTTAAATCAGGTACTTTAAGCCCTCCCAGCTTTGTGCTTTATTCTTCCTCTAACATTGTTTGGGCTTATTGAAATCCTGTACTTTTCCATTTAAGTTTCAGAAAATAGCCTGGTAATTGCTGAAATGCCTGCTGGGATTTTGATAAGTCTACAGAAAACTTTAGGATTTATTGATATCTTAACAATGTTGAGTCATCTGGTCAATAAATATAGCACTTTTCTCCGTAATTAAGGCTTTATTTCATTTCTCTCATCAACGTTTTGTAGTTTTCAGCGTGAAAATCTTACACAAACTTCATTAGATATATTCCAAACATTTGACATTTTTCTGTTGCTCTTATTATTGGCAATGATTTTTAAATTTCCATGCTAATTGTTCATTGCTAAGTTATAGAAACATAAATGATATTTTATGTTGACCTTGTATTCTGCTACATACTACTAAGCTTAATTATTAATTCCATAAACATTTCCAAAAATACTTTGGGATTTTCTACATAGATGATTATACCTTCTGCAAATAATGATGGCTTCTTTCTTTCTTTCCAGTCTATAACGTTTGCTTATTTTCTTTGCCTTATTGTCCTGTTTATCACCTCCACATCGTTATTTGCTGTTGCTACTGTTTTGATTTACTTCCCTCAGAATTCTCTAAGCTTCTTGGACTTGAATTTTATTGTTTTCCCTTTAATTTTGGAAAATTCTTGCTTTTCATATCTGTCCCATTTTCTCTCTCTCTTTTTCCTCCTCATTCTGGGACTCTTCCTAATAGCAGCCATACTCTGCGTTGAATATGTGATTGGTCTCATT